TACTACTACTACTGCCACACTACCATTACTGCTACTGCTACTACTGCGACTGTAACCGCAACTGCGACTTCCGCTACTGCTGCTACTGCTGCTACTGCTGCTACTGCTACTACTACTACCACTACTACTGCTACCACTACTACTACTACTACTACTACTACTACTTACTATGACTGCTGCTACTGCCACGGTTACCGATACCGCCACCGCTACCGCTACTGCTTCTGCTGCTACTACTACTACTACTACTTCTTCTACTTTTACTTGTACTTCTTTTACTTGCACCACCACCACGTCTACTTCTACTACCAGTACTGCCGTGGCTTCTGCGGCTACGACCACCATCACGACGTAGACGTCTACTATCACTACTACGACTGTACGAGTCCGCTTCTAGAATGATCAGCAATTCGTTAGTTAGGGTCATTAGCTCAGCATCATCTCTGGTACTCTTGATGTTGGTGCTCGTGTGAGTGTCTTGTGGTGAGTGCCAGTGATGGGATTTTCCGTATGTGGGGGTTTAAAGCTTGTTTTTTGGCAGCCAAAACCGCAGCACCAGGGTGGACAAAGGGCTCTATGGCTCGGCTTTGCTGATGCCTCAGCTCGCGCGCCTGCCCGGCATGTTGGACATTTCGCGTCAGGCTGTTCAAGATTTTTTCTCTGGTCGGCCCATCTTTGCTTCCGAGCCAGGTTCTGCAGGCTACCCCAAGAACCTCGTGATCTTGTGCATCCGCTGTTACACCTTCCTTGTAGTGCCCGTGGCTGCATGGCCGGGTACCGCCAAAGTTTGAGCCGCCTTTGAAGTTTCAGCTCAGATCGATGCTCTCGAGAATAGGCGGAGGCGAAGTACCCGTGCTCATGACAATGAGAAGAATTCGTCGCAGGAGTGACTAGCACTGTTTCGTTGGCCTCGTTGCGTGTGTTGACACGAATCCCTGAATCACTGCTCACATCAAGGTTCACACATGCTTTGAGGTGACTCCGTGTTCGGCGGGGGGGAACAGCACAAGATACTTTCAATCCCAACCCTAAGCCCTGAATGTGTTGGGCCCTGTTGGCTCTCGCCTTGGATCCTGGACGGCAAGCTCTACCGTTTAAGCCTCTAGCCCGATGAGTTCCACATGGCAAAACCATGCGATAGAGATTTATGCCTTGACAGAGGCGCCGGATGTTTAGGCAGTGCTCTGAGAGTTTCGGGATTAGGGCTTGCGCAAGATCGTCGGGCCTTTTGCCAGGTTCACAGTTGAAGGTTTAGGGTTGCAAAAAAGGTTTCACGGATGAGGGTTTGTGCCCTCTGGTTCTCGAATGCTTGTTGCTTCATCGGCCCAAGGTTCCCAGAGGCTTGTGTCGACAGAACAGCAGTTTTTCACAGCTGATGCACGGATGATACGAAACACCGGCAGGGAGGATTCAACATAAGAGAGGAGACTGATCCAGCTCGGGGTGCGGCACCCGACCTGAAGAGACATTTTTTTTTCCAATGGTCTTGCATCTGAGCCATCTGAGCCGCTTTTTCAACAAACCCCACCTTTCAGGTGAACTACATCTGCCAAGGCCTCATCCTGTACATGCTACTTGGTCCAACAGAAATAACCGGTTACAGGCTCCAAGTCTGACACACGATTTAGCCAAGCTTCTGGCATAGATTCCGGAACCCAGAGAAGTCAACGATCACACCAGCATTAACTTTGAGTCCTCTCCTGCTTCTTCAGGGAAATACATGAGGTTTCGTGGTCGAGTGGCACTGCTCTCTTGGAGACCGCTGGCATTCGGGTTTCAGGTATGGTATGTCATTGTTTCCAATATTTAGTGGTCGACCTTTATGTCTCCTGTCTTTTCCTCAAACTCCCAAAACCTAAGTATTAGGTGGTTTTGGAGCCCTCCGCTTCAAATTCCCTCCTAAATCGGGTCCAAACGTTGTTTCATTGTTTCGCATGGTTTTATTCTTTCAATGGTTTCAATTCTTGCGATAATTCTTGTAGCAAGTTCGACGGCAGCTTGTCTCTACTTCAAACTTGGTTTCTCTCTTTCAAGCCTTAGTTTCTCTTCTCTGACCTCTACGTTCTCTGCTTTATTTTGTGTTTTTGTCCATTTCAAGCTCTGGTTTCCCTACTTTATCTGTTTCTCCGCACGAACTGTTGGAAGAATCGAATCTAACACATGTCGTAACAGTTTCTTGGCAACCAAACAATGGTCACAACCATTGTTTCGACAATCAGACAGTTGTCGCAACAGTGTTTTGCCAATGAAACAATTGTGGCAACAATTGCCGCAAGTTCTAAACAACTGCTGCGGTTCCTCGGCGAACCGGTTTGGCGCCGGGGGCTTTAAGCACACCTTAATAGCTTGCCGTAACTTGTCGGCAAGATCGACGAGTCCCGAGAAAACATCACGCAATCCCAATGGCGGGCCCCAGTGTATTCTTCGCATTCTCACGAGCATAGCTATCTCACTCCGGTGATGTAAGCATGGCCTCCTCCTGGCTTGATCAAAGAGGCAGGCAAAAAGTGCCATCGATACTATACTTTAGGATTCCTTTAAGGGTACTATACTATAGGATTCCTTTAAGGGTACTATATGGACCACCAAGGATTGCCAAGGAAGAGCTCGTGTGGGATGCCTTCGCAGGGCAGCTACTCGGTGTCAAAGGATGGAGGAAGCTGTGATTGGATCTGCCAAAGCGAGGATGCGGAGATTCTTCTAGATGGGGGGGGTCTTTTGCGGTTCTTGGTGCCACTTGGCTCTTTGTGTCAGGTTTGGCATTGATGTAGTTCCGGTTCCTTAGAATGTGCCCCCCATTATACATCATACGTATACACCTATACACACGGCATTTTCATGTCTTTCCTGTATGCTGAATTAGTGTATGTATGCGGATACGAGTTTTGGCATATGATTTTTGTTTTTTCTAGAGCATGAATGAGGATTGCGAAGTGGCATGGCCTATCTCATGCGGCATGTACAGCCGAACAAGTAACTTACACATGCCGCGAACCGTGGCGTATGCTATACAGTAACTATGCAAAAGCGTGTATACATACATATGTGTACGTATGTACGTATGTATATATATATATATTTATGTACGAAAATACACATGTGCTTGTACGTACATAGATACGCATGTAGATACGCATGTGGACATGTTAGCTTGTGTATATGTTTGCGTGCGCACATACATATAATACATACATACATACATACATACATGCATGCATACATACATACATACATACCTACATACCTACATACCTGTATACATGTGAAAGGGAGAGAGCCACAACAAACACGTGTGTGCACGTGTTTTTGTTCGTAAGGTCCGCCTAAGTGGGTCTCTACTCAACTGAGGATGTTTTTATGCGATTTTGGACGTGCCGCAGCTGCAGTTCACCCGAAGCTCCCATTACTTGGGTTGGGGACTGACCCTAAACCCTAAAAACCCCCTAAACCCTAAACCCTAAACCCTGAATTACAATCACCGCTTGCAGTCGCCGGTCAGAGATTGCCAGGCTCACGCTCCAATAGCCGCGATTCTGCTCAGTTAGATATCAAATGCATTCCCAAGACCACAAGAAATCAATCGAAAAACACTGGCGAATTTTTAGATTCTAGATGAATCCTGGCGGATCACATAACTTTTTTGCGGTTTTCCTCCGGGCCACCTGCCCGATAAATGACCCCTCATTCCCCTCATCTTCAAGCTCCTCGGCCCTCTTTGTATGTGACCGCCGTAGTCCGAGGTCCCCAAAACTAAGTACTCTAACATGTGCGGGACGCTGGGTCGAGAGAGGGTCCAGTTCTCCCTTTCAGCGGGCCCTATTGCTTAAGGGGTTGAAGTAATGTCACCCACTATCATTTTTCTCTTCCATTCTGCAAGCGACTGTATCGTGCGATTTCCTTCTATTGCTCACATCATCCATGTCGTCAGGACATTCACCATTGTTATCTTCACCCTGCCATTATTCTGACCCTCATGCATGCCCCTTGCCGCATGATCCTGCAGTAGCAGCAGCCTTCATGCGCGGGCCCCTACTGTCTTCGTCGCTTTAGGGTTCAGGGGTACGTTTGTTTTTTGATCCACAGTCCTTGCAGGAAGTGCTGGCGACTGCGTCGACGATCCCACTGGCCCGAACTGTGTGGGCCCAGGCGGGTTGCTTGCCCAGTTGTGGAGGGAGGTCGGTTTAAGTGCTATGGTCCAGGCAACTTTTCGGCGGGTGGTAGAGGCCAGACAGACATCCGGTACTCTGAGCCGCAAAACGGCCCGTTGCCAGAAACCAAACATTCTCATTCCCTTGGGGCGCCCTGAGAGCCCAAGACCATTTAATTAAGGAATATACTGTAAATCATAATATTAAGGGCCTTATAATTTAAGGTATATTCCTTAGTTAAGGGGCGCTCTCTGGGCCTTGAAGCAGAGACGGACGTTCAGCCCCAAGCCTGGCTTTGAGCTGAGCAGATTGAAAAGTCGAGACGTCAGTGTCACCTGGGGCCCCTGAGGAAGCAAGAGGGTTACAAACCTGCATCGTCAAGAACGAACCGCGAGCCTCAACCTGTCGCATTCAATTCGGTCCAAGCTATCACTAGCACGTGTGGGTTTGCTTCAGGTATCACAGGGTGACATTGGATCTGGTGGGCGACGATACCATTTGATCTGATGGGTTTATGGGTATCCACCACGTCTCCACATGCATGGTTGTCGGCCGCGACGGCCACAGCCTGGGCACCAGCCGTACAGGTGGGACGACCTACGCCCCTGCACGCATCTACAGCTGGAGCGTCTGGTCGACACGCATCTATGATCCTTGGCAGCATAGCAGGAGGAAGCTACTGCTGAGAGGGCACTGGCAACAGCAGGAGTAGTAGCAGCAGCAGGAGCAGTAGAGGTAGCAGTAGAGGTAGCAGTAAAGGTAGCGGTAGCCGTAGCCGTCCCCGTAGCAGTAGTAGTAGCGGTGGTGGTGGTGGTAGTAG